TGCAAGCTGCCTTGAGAAGCCTGCGTAGTCTTGAAAGGTTGCTTAGAAGTGTGTGGAGGAAATATAAGCACATTTCCCGAACTCCTCTTGTGGGGATGCTACCTATGGAGAAACTTCAGAGAAGTTCTTTGCTTCTGCTCTTCTGTTCCCAATGGGAAGCCAGGCTGTAGTTTTGCAATTGAACCTCTGCTTTGCATGCAGAAGGTTCCTGGTGCAACCCCCAGCATCTCCAGTGTCCCGTCTGAAACTCTAGTAAGCTGCTGCCAACCAGTGTAAGTAACACCACTCTAGATAGACTCATGTTCTGAGTCTATATAAGGCAGCTTCCTGCACTCCAGAATCTTTTTTTTTTTTTTTTTACAAAAGCAAGCATTATTCTGCCAAATATTCATGCATGTGCAGAGGTGCTGCTGGCTCAGGAAGACCCTCCAACCCCATTCAGACCCCAAAGCAGTGGTTCTTCAAGGTTGCGGCATGCCACCCTGGTGTGGTAGCAGAGGATAGCGAGTGTAGCAGGAAGATTCAAGGACAATCAAAGAATCATTTAAGCATTTCTGTGTAATATAGAACAGTATAGTATCTATCTATCTATCATTTGCAGAATACGGGTAGAAATATTTTCAAGATGAGAGCAACAGCATCAAGTGATACTGAGAGCCAGAGCATCAAGGGATAAATTTCTCAAGGCCCGAGCAAATTTTTTTTCTGAAAGTGTGGCCCAGAGAAAAAAGTTTGAGGACCAGTGCCCTAAAGGCCTGCAACCAATGTGTTGAAGCTAAGCGGGTGTAAATTTGGTCAGTGTCTGGATGGGAGACTATTTTGCAAGCACACATATGCTGCCTTGCATTCCATGATAGAAGAAAGAAAAGTGGGGGGAAATGGGGTGATACAATGCTCAGCTTCTGACTTGATGCGCCTTTCATATGACAAGGGAGCTCTTCAAATGTTCTGCCATGACTGCTTCGGCAACCCTCTCCTGTCCCTTCATTCATTCATTCATTCATTATTTTTTTGGCAACTTCTCCATGACTCTTCTGATTTTCTCTGAGGCAGAAGGGCCCAGTGGGTGTCTTATTCTGAGAGTAGACTGTTTCCCACTGTTTAGAGGTGGCCTGTGCATTTTCCCTGACATGGGATCCTCCGCTTGCCATCCCAATGAAATGGAGAATTTCCACGCCAGCAGGCAGGTGTTCCCAGGAGCCTCTGCCACACATGTCAAGGGACTCCCTACGTGAGGGGGGTTGGCAGTAGCTAAGCTTTTCCACTGAGCATGGAGAGCCCTACCTCCCATGTGAGTAATGTGGTCCACCAGCCTTGAGGCAAACTTGGATGGGGATTGACAGACTATTTCTGATGCAGTTGCCATAGCAACTGTGATGCTCAGAAGCTAGTGGTTCAGCCAACCTTCTGCTGGGGTGCCACTCTCCTTCCCCATTTCTGCAGATATTGAGATGAGGGGGCACCCCCCCCCCCGATGTGTGTGTGTCAATCTGCAAATGCTGTTGGCATCCGTCTGTCCTGAGAGACAATAGGGTGAAGTCAAACTCAAACTGCTGTGTTAGCTGCACCAAAGTGATCACCTCAACGCACAAGCCTGGGCAGTGTGAATGGAGGTCCTGAGCTGCCCAGACAACAGGACCACCCCCCCCCCCCTTTGGCCTCACTGATATTGTCCAAAGGAAAGAGGAGCAATACCTTTGGCACCAGCCTGGGTGCAAGTGTTGCCAGAAGGAGGTATACAAGGTGTCATCCTACCGCCTTAGGGACTTTGGATTTGTGTAGGGCTCACTCCTTAGCCTTTTCTTCTCCCAAAGATATCCCACAAGGCAGCAGAGGTTTAGGATCAGAGTTTTCCTTCTCTTAGATGGGCTCCCTTCCCAGGTGAACAAGCCCCATCTGTCCCTCACTTCCCTCTACAAAACATGCAGAAACCACCTTCTTGACCTTTGGACTCTTGTTTGTTCCATCCAATCTGCCTTCACATGCAGGGGAAGTCCCTAACTCACCAATGGTTTAAGACCCATCAGCTCCCCTCACCTGGTTTAGTGGCCAATTGAAGCCGTTTCCTGGGATGTGGCCGCTGTTTCATGCCAACGGCTTCTAGGAGCCCCAGGTGAGAGAAGAGTGCAGGTTGGGGACCAGAGGTGAACAAACTACCCCAAAAGGAGCACAATGTGTCCCCCACCAGATGTACTACCCCTTCCCTTTACACTCCATACACCCCATGCACAATCTGCATATACAAGATCACTTAACAGTTAGCCTTAATAACCTTTTAACAGCCTCACAGTCAATATGGCAATTTAAGAGTGGTGAACACATTGGTTTTTTCCCTGCCTCTTCAAGGTGTCTTTGTGACTAGACAGGGAATTTTAATGTGCAATCATGACTAAGATCCTAAAATGCTTATTTTTGGAGCAATGAGCATGCAGGGCAAGGGCTTGGGGTAGGTGTTTCTATCCTGCAGATTCTTCCAGGCCCGCTTTCTATACCGGACACACACACACACACACACACACACACACACACACACACACACGGCTGCAGAATCCCACGGTCACCTTGCTCTCAAAGGCACAATGACTGTGCTATTTCTTCCCCTGCAGTCCATGGAGATGCAGGACAGACAAAAGAGAGCACTTCTTCACAAAGAGCACCGTTAAACTGTGGAATTTGCTCCCACAAAAGGGACCGGTGACCACCAAAGTGGACAGCTTTAAAAGAGGGTGAGACAAATTCACAGAGGAAGTGGATTAGGCTGTCAATGGCCACCAGATGCACAATGGCTTTGTTCTACCTCCACTATCGGAGTTAATGTGCCTCTGAATGTCAGTTGCTGGGAATCACAAATGGGTGGGGGAGAGCTGTGGAGCTCAGATTCTGCCTGCAGGTTTCCCATTAGGGCATCTGGTTGGTGGGCTGGATGAGCCCTTGGCCTGATCCACCGGGCTCTTCTTATGTTCTTATGAAACACCAGGTTCCGTGTCTGCTTGTCACTACAAGAGTTTTCTCTGGGATAGAGTAAGGAGCATTAAACTCCTCTGGGATTGTCAGCAGCTCATTTTGACACAGACACTATGGAATCTGACTCCCCCGCCCCCTGGCAGAACAGATGTCCCTTTAGCAGAAATTATTATTATTATTATTATTATTATTTCTTGAATTTGTAGGCTACCCTTCATCTGTAGATCTCAGGGCGGTTCACAACATAAAATCACAATACACACACACACACACACACACACACACACACACACACGAAATACATAATAAAAATAAGAACACAAACAAAACAATAATCCCTGCTCACACATTTTTTATTATTATTATTATTTATTGAATTTTTATACCGCCCTGCACTTGCAGGTCTCATTGGTTCACAAGATAAAATCACAATATAAAAACATAAAATACACAATAAAAGCAAGAGCAACCCAATACCATCCCAACACATTTTAAAGGGGCATTGGATGTCAGTCAGCCAAAGGCCTGGCTAAAGAGGAACGTTTTCGCCTGGTGCTAATGAGCAGTTTGAAAGTTCTATGGTTCTAAGTGAATAAGTGGGTGAGTGTTTTTCCCCCAGTAGATGAACCCCTCTACCTGACTTGGAGAAATTCTCACCTGTCGGATTTCTGCTTGCCCTTTGGCTGTTAAAAAGACACAGGACTCCAACCAGAATTCAGGGCCTGGCAACCCTGAACTCCTTTTGTGGTCCTAGCATTGAATCCACTGCTATTTTATTTTATTTTACAATAATTGCCACTTAATCAACAAAAAACTCTCAGCAGTGCACATTAAAAAATAAAAGTAAAATCAACCATTGGAAAATTGACGCAAGAATTTAATCCAAATATAAATAAAACCAGCAGTTTTAAAACAAATATACATCATAAGATTACATGTCTGGATAGGCTTGCCTGAATAAAAATGCTTTTTAGAAGGTGCTGAAAGCAATACAGTGAAGGCGCCTGACTGGTTTCAGTTGGTGGCAAGTTTTGGATACGTTGGTTCTGCTACACTGAAAGGGTCAGTTCTTGAATCAAACGTCATGTGGCACTTGAAAAAAGTGCCAGTTGCATAGATCAAAATACTCAAGTTGGTATATATGAATTAAGGCGATCCTTCAAGTCAGCTGGTCCCAACCTGTTGAGGCCTTTATATGATAATGGTAAAACCTTTAATTTGGCCCTGTAACAGATAGGCAGCTGGTGCAGATCTCTGAACAGTGGAGTTACATACTGACTGGGTCTCACTCTTGTCAGCAATTTTGCTGCAGCATTCTACTACATGGCAGTAACCCAACCTTGAAGTCACCAGTGTTTGGACTACTGTGATCTAGCACAACAGAGCTGGCAGGGAATGATGGGAGATGTAGTCCGAAATGTCTGCCAGGAAAAACAGGTTGATGAAGGCAGGATCAGGCCATACTGGGTAAGTCTGTGGCTAAAACTTATATGATGTTTGTTATTCACATCTTAGTTGGAAGCATTCTTTGCATGCTCCCTTTTGTTCTGGAGAATAATTAGCCATGAGGCCCTGATCTGGAACATGCTCCCAACCCACATCAGGCTTCTGAACCACTTTTCTGCTCCTAGGTTCCTTTAGTTCCCGGAGGTGCTGTTGACAGGGAAAAGCAGGGGCAAAATAAGCAATATTCTGGATGGGAAGCACCATTACTTCTCCAAAGTGGAAGCAGCCAATTAAAGCACATTTGTTTCAAGCACATGACTCACACCACATGTTGTTTGGGCCTCCTACATTCATAATTAGGAAGGGGCAGCGCCTTAGTGGTAAATGCACACCAAACCTCACAGGGTTGTTGTGGGGATAAAATGAGGTTGTGGTGTGATAGGAATTTTATGGTCTTAGATATATTGTAATGTCCATAAGTGTACCAACCAAGCACGTACATAGATCAGCACAGGAAGGCCAACCTGGAACCTTTTTGATTCCTAAACTGACCAAATGTTTTCTCTGCAAGGTCAAAGTGGGAAACCCCCCCATTGTCTCTTTCCTCACAAATCCTGTCTTAAGGACACATTTAAGATATGAATAGGGTGTGAGCCTGTGACCTGGCCCAGGAACTAAGTATTTATCACTACAAAAGACTGGCCAGGCTCCCCAGGCAATCCAATCAGGTAACCTGCCAGACAGGAGATAAACAACAACAGGAGAAAAACAACATTAAAATTTCTGTTTTAGACTGCCTTTTTTGTGATGTAGGTGTGATGTATCTTGAGGGGTGGTCTTAGGTTACACCCCTTCTGTGATGTATGTATGATGTTTCTGGGGGTAGTCTTGATCTACACGGTGGCAATTTCAAAAGTCTTTATAAGTCCTTGCGTGCCATTGTTCTGGGTTCCTCTTCCTCTCCTACGGGTGAGGGGAGCACCCTGTTGCAACAGATCAATAAAGATCACGCTTACTAGCTGCTTTGCTTCTCAGTATTCTCTGGTTGGCCTCTGTTATTCTCTCCTACCAATAGGGAACCTATGTTAAGGACTCTATATGGGCTCTTGGATACCCTACAAGGGAAAAGGGTAATTTTTGTTTACAACAGTGGGACCATGGACACAATCTCAAGCTTCTTGGAGGAACGTGGTGGAATATAAAGCCAATTAATCAATTAATCATAATGTTACCCTCCCCCCCCCCCGCTGTGTGGCACCCACATCCAAACCATTCCCTGCCCCCAGCAGCCCTAGCCTGAACCAGCCTCCCACCTAAGAGTCCAGTGAGGGTACTTCTCCAAAGAGTTAGTGTGTGTGTTTTGGGGGGGTGGGTTTACGGACTCAGTTCTCCAGGCAGCGGCTGCACCAAACCCCATTTCTTTGCCACTTAGATGCAATTAGAGACATTTAGATAACAAACTGCTGCATTAAATTTAATTATCCCAGCAGTAATTGGTTGCACTGAGAGGATGCTAAGCCCAGCACAGAGGGCAACTAATTAACCAGCGGAGCCGGGGGGGGGGCGGGGGCTGAGCGTGAACCCGATCAAGATACCACCACCCAGGTTGCCTTCTGCATCTGACCTGCTGACCTAACTACAGCCAAGGCTCTGCCCTCTGCAGGAACTGGTTTTCTCCCCAGAGCCTTCCAGTCCAGGAATAGGGGCAGAAGTCATCAAAAAAGAGGTCATCTGAGCATGCGAAGAGAACCTCTCTCTCACGACAGAAACCCTTCAGTGGTTCTTCACTCTTGAGGAATTGGGTGGGGACACCTTCCAGGTCCGAGGCCGTGGATTCCAGGAGAAGTTATGCTCTGCACTTTCTATTTAAAAAAAAAAAGCAATTGAAGCAGTGACTAATTTCTTTTTTGTATATTAAAAAAAAGTGTGTCAGGGATTAGGCATAGGGTTGGCCATAGGTCCAGAATTTCCTGGACGTAGCTAGGATTTGCCCATCGGAAACAGTGTCCAGGTGAAAATCACTGAAATGTCTGGGAAAATCCAGACATATGGCAACCCATGTAGGAAGTGTAGGTTATGGTGAATTTTCTTTAAAATAGCTCAAAAACTTGTGTGCGGATTTTCACTTTTTGAATTATGGCAAGCCTATCTAGTAGGGTCCCTTCAAAGACTCACCATCTAGTCCTAGACACCAGGTGCGGAGCTACACATCCTGTGCATGCCAGGAATTTCTCTTATTTACCTATTCCGGCCCAGGGAATAGGTAAATAAGAGGAACACCATGCCACAGACAAGAAAATGCCTCACAAGGATTTGTATGTAACAGCTTATTATCCCCTTTCCTGGGGTCAGCGTGGGGCTTCCAGTTCTCTCTGACCCCTCTGCAGCCCTGCCCACAGAAGCCTTGGCTCCTGCTCCCCACTTTTGACAAGCCTTGCAACAGCTGGGCTGCAGCTTCCTTGGTTGCCCTACATGACTTTGCAACAGATCGAGCGCTTCTGCTGAAAGCAGACTGCCTCCAGTGCAGACCTTTAGGTGCTGTTGCACAACTTCCAGCTGGAGGTCTGGAATGTGCTCTGGCTGGAGTGCAGCCGTGCTAAGCCTGCTCCAGGCACCTGCTCATAAAGGCATTCTGCTGGTGCCTCCACCATTGCTGCAGCGGCAGCAGTTCCTATTGGCCTCCAAACAGCTGCTAATATATGGCCTGGGCAAGAGTGAGAAGAACAGGCAGCCTCTGGGCATGTGCAGAAGGCCATCTTGGCTTCAGGGGATGGAGCCCTGTGCTTTTAATAGTTGGGCACTCATATGATTTTTATTTATTCCATAGAATTTAAATACTGCTTGATTATTATTATTATTATTTGTAGCACCCTTTACAAACTGCAATTCCCAGGATTCTTTGGGAGAAATGTGCTTTTAATGCCTGTTTTTCCTGCAGCAGGCATGCTCAGCTACCCCTCTGGAAGCTCAATCCCACAGAAGGCTGTGACGGCCACCAACTTGGATGGTTTTATGCAGGAAAGGCTATCAATGGCCACTAGGCACGATGGCTATGCTCTACCTCCACAGTCAGTGGCAGTAACGTTTGTGAACAGTAGTTGCTGGAAGATGCAGGAAGGGAATACAGAATGCTCTTGTTTCCACAGGCCTCTGGTTGGCCACTGTGAGAACAGGATGCTGGACTAGACAGGCCAATGTGGCCTCATCCAGCAGGCACTTCTTATGTCCTTACGTGGTTCAAGGGTAGAGAGTGTGAGAAGGCATCTTCCAAAGCAATCCCACCCCGCAAATAGCTTGGGAGCCTTCTTGCCTCTAGCCTAGCCCTCACCCCATTTCCTGTTCCCGCTGGAGTCTTCTTTTGCTTGCCACACCTGCGGGCTCTCTTCCGGCCAACGGTACCAATGACAGATCTTAAAAACTTGGGGTCGGTGAGATTCGGCAATCGCAGCACCTTGCGCCTGCTGGACCTCCTGAGCGGAGCGGGTTGTGTCTTGCTCCTCGTGAAGTAGGGTGAAATGTGAGGAGTGTTGCAAGCCGGTGCAGAGGCAGAAGGTCTGGCCGAGATGGTAGAGCCCGGCTTCTCTGTCAGGGGTTTCTTCCTAACCCAGTGGAACACCAGTATCATACGCCTCTTAGATGGGTTGGACATGCTGAAGAAGGTGCTGGAGGCCCAAAGACCAGGGGGACTTCAAAGCGGAGGACGCAGCAGGCAGTTCCCTATCAATGGTGCCAAATCCAAGCAAATGTTAGCTCCAGTCCTGTTAAATTGATCCAGCAATTATGAGTGTTAAATAAGGGATTAATTCCTCAGGCAGTAGGAAAAGACTTTCTGTGGCTTTTTAATAGATGGGAGCCCCCAGCAACTGCCACTGTTGACAGCCTGTTGCCCCTTCACTCTGCTTGAGTGGGTTATGTCACAATGGTTCCTTCATCAGGTGTTTGTGAGCATGAAAATGCTGTTGGGAGTTTCAGCAATGAAGGTTCAGGCATAATATACTGTTTGAAAGTCTGAACATTTCCTCTTTTTTTATTTAACAAAATTTATATACCGCTTTTATAATTTATATACAAATTATTAGGAGAGTAAGTTACAAATATACTGTAGTTTATTCACTTATAGGCTAGTTTACATACTTTATTCCTTCTTATACTTCTATCCCACCTTTCCTCCACAGAGCATACACACTTCAGCCTCCACCTTCTCCATTTTATCCTGACAGCAATATTGTGAGCTAGGGCCATAGCTCAGTGGTAGAACAACTGCTTAGCATGCAGAAGGCATCAGGTTCAGTCCCCAGCATCTCCTGGTGGGACAGGGAGCGCTCCCTCTGCGCTTCGGAGGCTTCGCGTTGCTATCGCTGAAGCCAAGGAGCCTGCATTCGCTCCATAGGATGCACACACATTTCCCCTTAATGTTGGAGGGGGAAAAGTGCGTCCTATAGAGCGAAAAATACAGTATATGTTGGCAGTTCCATAAGGACTGCCGTACGTCAGGAATTTCCCATATATATCTGGAATGCTGCAGGCAGAAGCAGTGCCTGGGTGGAAATAGACAAATTTTTCTGGGAATTTCCGGATGTATGGCAGCTCAGCAGCTTTGGGCAAAACTGAAAAAAGCTCAACAGCTTTGCCCCAAAATAAGGCAACCCTAATTTATTTTATGCCATACTTTGCCCTGGTGGGGTATAAAATCTCTTTAATAAGCCAGGAAACGATAAATAACAGCATGTTGGGGGGACTGTCCCAGAACTCAAGAGTAAATGAATTGAGGGTGGAAGCAGAAACTAGCCCCTCATTACTACATGCTGTGTTGGCAAGTTCAGCTGTGATCCCGTGATCACTTTACCTGGGATTAGGGACTATTGGACACAAGGGAGCTGAATTCTGAGTGATGTTCTTGGCATCCGTCTGTCTCGACTCTCAAGAGACAATGGAGTGCGCCTCTGGCGGTGAAGTCAAACTGCCACATTAGCAACACTGAAGTGACCTCCATGGGGCACAAGCCTGGGCGGCGTGTCTGGAGATCCTGGGCTGCCCACGTGATAAGACTTTCATTCTCTGCCTTGCTGATGTGGTGCAAAGGGAAGCAGAGGTATATGTTTGTCGCCAACTTGGCTGCAGGAGTTACTGGAAGGAGGCGTACAGTCATCCAGCTGTCTTAGGGAATCCCAGATTTGTATAGGGTTTACGCCTTAGCCTCGGTGCTTTTTTCTGGGGGTATTCAAGGGTACGCAGTAATGGCACTTTTCCCCCCTAGAAGTAAAAGCACTGGTTTACAGTGTGGCATTTACTGTATCAACCTCATGGTGAGGACCAGCACCATTTTTCTAGAAGAAAAGCACTGCTTAGCCTTAAATCATCATCATCATCACAGTTCATGAACATGTTGCAGCTGAGCTAGGTGAAAGTACTTGACAAAGGGTTTGTGAGGGGCATGGACTTGTGAAAAGTCTCAGAGGCCAGGTAGGAAGGAATGAGGCAGCCACATTCAGCCTTTGGGTCTGGGGTCCCCATTCCAGTTCAGTGTACCTGTTCAGGGTCAGAGCTTCAAAGAGCCCTTTGTCTTCCAGCTTCGTCTTGTGTGGCTGCAAAACTCACAGGCCTGCTTGTAGCTTCGTCTGTAGCAGCCTGGAGTGCCTGTTCCATCATGCTCCAAAAAAGGCTGGTTTACAGTTGGCCCCTGTCAGGACTCCTAACTCATGCTTAAAATTCCCACCTCTTCCTCCTTGGTGAATGGATGGGGAATGGACAGATCTGTCAGTTTCATTTTATCTCATTTTCTTTTATTTTTCCTAGTCTTAATTTTCATATTTTCACATTTTTAAGTCCTCATGAAAATTCATCAGCATTTTAGCACCCTTCTTATGCACATTCCCCTGGTGTAACACATGCTTGCTGGTTATTTTAACTAATATATGTGTTTTTAAAAAATATGTGCACTTTTTTTAGTTGGACAGCTGCCGCGCAATATTTGGAAGTGCAAATTTCAAAGGGCAGCTGTGCTTGGGGTTGTGTATTGTTTCAGGGAGCGTGAATTAGGTCGCTCTGCATTTAAAATGTGGACTGAACTGAACTTGTCTCCCCATCCTTCCTTATTATGCTGATCTCTTGCGTTGTGCCTCCGAAGCGGCTCAGCTCTTCCTCTGCTGCTAAATGAAGCACCTTTGCGAGTTCTGTGGGGGAGAAAAAAGCCTTCCCCCCCCCACACTTTCTCCAGCACGGCCTTGTGAGAGTGTGTTCACTGAAGCCCAGATGGCTTGCTCCCTTCCATCCAAGTTTCCTGCTGCCTGCTGGGCCAAAAAAATACTGTTGTAATAACCACAAGATGCTTCAGCAAATAGGAAAATCACATTGAGTTGTTTGGTTTTTAATTAGCCATTCCGCTCCTGCTATCCCAGCTGCAGCTCCCACTAGTCACTGGCTTGGGTCCTGGAAGCTGTGCTTCTACCTACGTTCTGCTCACTTTGTGGGAACTCCTATGCCTTTTTCGGAGCAATCCAGGCACATAAAGCCAAGTCCTCCCATCTACACATTGCCACCCATCCCCAACACTTGCTGGTTCTGGAAACCCCTGGGGCGGCAGCAATCGCTGCCTGTCTTTTCAGCCTCTTAAAATTGCAGGCTTATGAATGGAGACGAGAGAGGGGCAGGCCTTGGAGCTGAAACAAAGAGGGTGGTGGCTTTGTGGCTGAGTTCCTTGCTGATCTTTCAGCCAGCCGATAAATGCAACCATTTTGTGCAGTGGTTCTAATCCAGTCTTTTATACTACAAATCCAATGAGTCCCACCATTGTTAAGGCCATAGGACAGGGGGGATCATGGGTGTTGCAGTCCAAAACCTCTGGAGCTCACCAGGCTGAGAGGAAGAATGCAAGAAGAGTCAGCTGGATCAGGCCAATGGCCCATTTAGTCTAGCAATCTGTTTTCACAGTCAGGGGTGTACCTAGGCTTTGGCCCAGGGTGTGTGTGCAAAAAACATGCCTCTCCACTCTGGTTCACAGTGGCTATGAAACCTGTTCATCCTCGCACTCCTCCTGTGAGGGGCAAGAGTTACAGGAGGAGGAAAATGGGAGGGAGGAAGCAGAAGGGAAAGCAGCAAACAGAGATGATGAGGAAGGAAGGCAGGAAGGAAGATGGACTGACAAGAGGAGGAGGAGGAGCAGAGCAGACCCTAATGGCTGTGGAGAAAGTCACTGACAGAGTGCAAAAGGCGGTGAAAAGCAAACTTCTTAAGTTTCTAGTCCATGGTCTTTACAGGCTTTGGGGGCACCAAGGCTAGATCTACACTCACCTTTTAAATGTTATTGGAACAATATTAGAAATGTCATTCTAAAATGTCAAGACAGGAAGAGTCCTCCTTGCTTTCCCCTTCTTTTGTGTTTCCACACGGTCTACGCGGTTTCTGGTACAGGATAGCTCTGCAGCACCCTCTGGTGTCACACTTCAACAACGCATTGTGAGCATTGAAAAAGAATGTCAAGTGGCCATATGGTTATCAGAACCATTCCTTAACTATTTGTTGATGTTAAAAAAATATGAGTGTAGATCTGCCCCAAGGCAGCTCCTTGTTAAGGGTACAAGGGAGCCTAGGTCAGCCTCTGTCCACAGTGACCAAGCCCACAATTAGGATCCAAGCACAAGAGCCCATTTCCCCTCCTGTGGTTTCCAGCAACTGGTACTCAGAAGCATTTGCTGCCTCTGGTTGCAGAGGCAGAGCATAGTCCTCATGGCCAGGAGCCATTGATAACCTTCTCCTCCATGAATTTGTCTTATGGTGACCATGACATTCTAGCATCTAGCGCTGCATTGTGGTGTTTATTCCCCCTGGTGGTGTAGAAGATCCAGTCACAGTGCACACCTGGGTTCAGAAGATGCGGCCTACTGGAGGCTTAAGCCGGTTCTCTAATGTCTGAAGCTATTGTACAAACGCACACAGTTGGCATAAGCAGGAGCAGTTTCTTCCTGCTCCAACAAAGCAAATTGACTATTCCCACATCATCTCTTCAGGTGCACCCTTGCACCCCCAGGTGCTGCTAGCTTACAGCATTCAAAACTCAGCTCAGCCTCCTCTGTCTCTCTCTCAGAACTAACTCCATTTTCCTCTGAAAGCTACAGTTGCCAACACCCTTAATGAACAGCAATTCCAAGTGTTATTTGGAGGGAAGTCATGTGTTTTAAATACATGGTTGTTGCATGCAGCCCCAGTAATTTTTTTGTAATGCTATTTGGAGATGGGGCTGTGAGCTGAGCGCTTCAAGCAGGTAATTACTGATCAGCTGGGTTCATGAACAGAGACACACTCTACTATGTAAGGAGGTTCTTGGGTGGTTGCTGATGTTGTTGTTGTGTCACCACAGCATTGGATTGGGTGAGGGGCGAGGAGGAAGGTTGGGGGTTTGGGATCCAGTCACTAGCTCAGAGAGCACAATCACACAGCGCCTATTTAAAGCGCATGATTTCCTCGGGGAGAATCCTGTCATGTCCCATCAATTTGCCTGACCCTTCCAAGACATGTATGGGTGAAATATATGGCCTAAAGTAGCTATTCCAACTTGGCAAGGTTGCATTTCAGCTGATGGGGGGAGTTTACAGTCCCAAACAAGTGGACTGCACTAGGTGGAATAAGGCTTCCTTGCAGAAAGATTACCTGCCACTCCACCCAGATCTAATATGTGGGGCTGGCAATCACTCCAGGTTTGGGACAGACACGATGTGTTGCTTAAGGTGAAAAACTGCTTTGATTTGGGTTGTGTTTTTAAAAACAACTACAGTACCTGGAATGGCGGAAAATCCTTGCCACTGCCACGAAGTAACTTTGGAGGAGCAAGCACTCCCCCTGCTGGTTGTTATTATTCCTGCGATTATTTATTCATTTTTCATACTGCCCTTCACTAGAAGAGCACAGAGTGGTTCACAACATAAAAATACAAAACAAGAACACAAAATACATAATAGAACAGAAAAAAACCAATAACTCACCCCCTCCCACAGACAGCACATTTAAAAGACCATCTTTGTTAATCAATGTAAGTAAAGAAATGTTTCTGCCTGGTGCCTAAAGATATGTAATGTATGCATCAGGTGCGTCTTTCTGGGGAGAGCATCTCAAAAGAGGGGAGCCACCACAGAAAAGGCCTGTTCTAGTATTGCCACCCTCTGGACCTCTCATGGAAGGGGCACATAAAGAAAGACCTCAGATGATGACCGCAGGGTCTGGGTTGGTTCATATGAAGAGAGACAGTCCTTGAGGTATTGTGGTCCTGAGCCCTCTAAGGCCTTATTGGTCAAATCCAGCCTTTGAATTGGACCTGGAATAGAACTGGCAGTCAGTGCAGTTGGGCCAGGACGAGTGTAATAGTCTCAAATCGTCTTACCCCAGTGAGCAACCCGGCCACCAAATTCTGCACCAGCTGAAGTTTCTGAAGCATATTGAGAGGCAGCCCCATGTATAACATGTTTCAGTATTCTAACCTAGAGTTTACCAGAGCATAGATAACAGAAGTTAGGCTGTCCCTCTCCAGATAGTGATGCAGCTGGGTCACAACCAAAGCTGATGGAAGGCACTCCACACCAATGGGGTTACTTGAGCCTCAAGCAACAGGAAAGGATCCAGAAGACCCCCCAAACTATGTAGGTGCTCATTCAAAGGGGATCTATACTCCTCAAGAGCAGGCAGACTCCCATCCATCCAGTCTAGGGAACCGCCCACTAACAATGCCTCAGTCTTATCAGAATTTCATGCAGTCCATCACCAAGACAAGGCAACAGTCCAGCACTTCCACTGCCTCACCTGAAGATGTAAAGGAGAAGGAGAGCTGATGCCTTGCGCAGGTGCAGCATGGACGACACCCTTTGTGGAAAAGCTGCAGCGTTTTAGTTTAGAGAAAAGGCGAGTAATAGGCAACGTGAAAGAAGTTTATAAAATTATCCACAGGAAAGGGATAGAGCACATAAGTCTAGAACTTGTGAACATCCAACAAAGCTGAGTGTTGAAAGATGCAGAACAGATTTTTAAGAGGTCCTTCATGCAATGCATAGTTGAACTATGGAACTCACTCCTGCAGGAGGCGACCAGCCTAGATGGCTTTAAAAGAAGATTGGGCAAATCCGTGGAGGAGGAGAAGGCTGCCAAGGGCTACTAGCCATGATGGAAGCTCTGCTCTGCTCTGCCTCCGAAGTTGGAGGCAGCGGTGCTTCTGAATCCCAGTTGCTGGAAGCTGCCGGAGGCCAGAGGGCTCTGTGCTCGGGTCCTGCTTGTGGGTTTCCCATGGGGGCATCTGGCTGGCCATGGTGAGAACAGGATGCTAGACAAGATGGGCCATTGGCCTCATCCAGCAGGGCTCTTCTTGTGTTCTTAACCCTATAAAAACTAGGTGGTTGGATGTGGGCGATGCTTTCAAAAGGTTCCAGGTTCCAAGGGGCAAATAGATGAAGCTGGTGGGTCTGGGCTGCTTGCTCTCTTGTCTGCCTTCAACTGAACATATTGAATGAGGTACTGCTGCAGTTATGGTGGTGGAAGAAATAAAATACATTGTGGAGTTGGGAGACCCAGCACCTTCTGCTTGTGGCATCTCTCTCCGGCTGGACCATCACAGTGGGTTGAAAGCTCCTCCCACTCAGTGGGGTGACTCTGGGGCAGGGATGTCCCCCGCAAAAAACAGCTGCAGCTGTATTACCAGAGACACGCAACTCTGCCCAGAGCTGCATGCAAATCTTTGGGCAACCTCTGGCTTTTGTGGTGGTCTCTTCCACTGTCTCAGAGCAGATTTCTGCCTGTGGGTCTCCAGAGGTTGCTGGAATCTCAAAACCCATCAGCCCCAGCCAGCATGTCCACTGAGCAGGGATATCGGGAGTTACACTCCAGCAATAACTCAAGGGCAACAGGCTGCCATATAATCTCACAGGCCTAACATTTCTCTACTGATGTTCAAAATATTCATAGGCAGATGGTGGCTGCTCCTTCTCAAAGCTCATCAGTCTTATTTAGCCCAGCTATGCTGGCAGGGGCTGATGGGAGTTGTAGTCCAAAACACCTTACTCACTCATATGCCCCTCTATAGCCCAGAGAGCTTCCATCCCAGGCTTCTCTGACCTGCTCTCCTCCAATGTTGGACTCCATCTCCCATCAACCCCAGCCAATCGTACAGCCCATGGTCCAGAGCAGCTTTTATTAGCCCTGGGACTCCAGGTGTTACACAACTACAACTCCCATCATTCCTAACCAGCAAGGCCAGTTGTCAGGGATGATGGGAGCTGTAGTTCAATAACACTTGAGGATCTGAGATTGAGAAAGGATGGTCCAGAGTGAGGATGGAGTTCTTGGGTGAAACTGATGTAGAGCAGAAACTACAGGTAGAACTCTGGGAGATTTAGAGCAGCACTGCAAACATTTCCGATTCATCAGGAAAATAGCAGCAACTTAAAAAACTTCCTCACCTCCACCACCAAATCACGGTAAGTTGTTTAATAGAGTTGGGGGTGGGGACAGGAGAGGGACCAGGAATGGATTTTTGTGGGAAAGGACTTCTGTGTTTGCTTGTGCTGATTACGGCGTACGTCCAGAGAGGGGCGCCCTTGTTCCTTTAATTATTCGTGTACGTCTGCTTGGCGTGAGGTGCTATTTTGTACCTGGCTCAGGTTCGTTTATCTTGGCACTCTAGCAAACAACATTAAGAATAGATCCTGCAAGCAGGGAGCCTGCTCACCCAAGTCTAAGGGAAGTAATCTTTGACTTGCTTTTGGCTCCTTCCCAGGTTCCCTCCCAATCTGCCAACCCCCCTCGCCTGCTTTCCATTCTGCTTACCAGAGGTGGCAACAGCGCCTCTGATTGAAGACTGGAGACCATGCAAAATAAGGAGCCCACACACTCACAAGGCACGTCTTTCGTTGCAAACCCACAAGAGGAAAGGCAGGGCTAGGGAACCCACCCTTCACAGAATCCTAGATTGTAGGGTTGGAAGGTACTCCTAGGGGTCATCTAGTCCAACCCCCTGCAATGCAGCAATTGCAGCTAGATTCTACATGACAGATGGCCATCCTACTTCTGCTTAAAAACCTCATGGAAGTTGTCTCCCACTGAGCTTAATTACATGGTATGGGAAAAGGAGATGCTGGAGCCATTTCCTAGAGGGGGCACAACACACAGTTGAATCCTGCTCCCACCATAGACACCTAGAGCACAGAGGCTGAACCAGTAGCAGAATTGGTAGTCCCAGTTCTTCACATGGTTCTAGTGCAAAAAATAAAAATGAAAAATTGAACATGGCCTGGTAGCAAATGGGAAGTCCATACAGGAATTAACAACAATGTCATGTGTTGGCAGTAGTTTTGTCCTATCGCCAGCCTAGCCGCAGCATTGTGCCCTAGCTTAAGCTTCCAGACCCAAGAGCAGCCACACAGAGAGAGCTTTGCATGCACAACTGCATTTTGATTGCAAGGGAATGACTATGGCTTGGTGGCAGAGCACCTGCTTTACATGCAGAAGGTCCCAGGTTCAATCCCCAGCATCTCCAGGGAGAGGCCACTGCCTGTAACCCTGGAAAGCTGCTGCCATGCCTATGTCAGTACTGAGCGAGAGGCGCCCACCCACAGCAGCAGAGCTTCATGCTCTGGCAACAGGGGGCGGAGAGCAGGCGGGGCAGGGCTGGTGTGCGTCCCAGGGGTGTGGTGTGCCATCCGCAGGGGTGTGGTGTGCGTCCCGGGGGCGGGGGGTGCCACCCGCAGAGGCGTGACACCCAGCGCGGGCAGGGGGCAGCCGCGATGGCACCCCACCAGGATTGTGCTGCTGGGGGTGGTGCGCTCTCCCCGCACTCCTCTTCCTCCACCAGTGGGCACCCATAGTCTGACTCAGGATAAGGCGGCTTCCTGTAAGAATTCTGCGGTGTTCTGTGGCAAGTGCAACATGAGCAGAGTTAGGGTGCCGTTTTCAAGTCTGGGCAAGGCTGATTCAAAACTTACTAGTTTTCAATGTATTTCTGTGTCCTGCCTTCCCCCTAGAAATATGGCACTGAAAGCAGTTAAGACATTTTCATTATATATAAATGAAAACAAAAGCCAACAAAAATAAGAAAAAAGCCAAGCACAAATGCGGATTTCTGGGGGTACTTAAGGGTAAATATATTAGTTTTTACATATATTTTCCAAATAGAACATATATCATCTCATCTCATCTCATCTTATACAACATTTTGGCTATTTTAGCTTGAGACTTCCATCAACCACATCTAATGATTTTCAAACCTCATCTCTTAATCTTACATTTGTTATCCTAACTATTACTTTTAATAATCCATAACTTAAAATCCATTCTCATAAATCTTTTCTGCAATATTTCATATAGTTCTCCTTACAAAACTTCTTGTGGTCCTACAAGCGTAGTCAGTTGGTTACAATTGTCTTTCAGATAACTGGTATATTTACTCCAATCTTTCAAGAATTTCTGGTCATGCTGGTTTCGAATTCTCCCTGTCATCTTATCCAATTCTGTGTAGTCCATCAATTTCATCTGCCATTCCTCTTTCGTCGGTAGTTCTTCCTGCTTCCATTTCTGTGCCAATAATACTCTTGCTGCAGTTGTCGCATATAAAAACAGGGTTTTTTTCCTTGTCTTTTAATGTCAGTGCCTACAATACCAAATAAAAATGCTTCTGGTTTCTTTTTTTTATAAATGTATATTTCAACATCTTTTTCATCTCATTATAAATCATTTCTCAGAAGCCTTTCACTTTCTTACATTCCCACCACAGATGATAAAAAGTGCCTTCCTTTTCCTTACATTTCCAACATTTATTGCTTACTTTATACATTTTAGCTAATTTCACTGGTGTAAAATACCATCTATACATCATTTTCATTACATTTTCTTTCAAAACATTGCATGCAGTAAATTTTGTTCCTTCTTTCCATAATTTCTCCCAGTCCTTTAACTGTACAGTGGAACCTTGGGTTGCGAACGTGATCCGAGCGGGAGGCACGTTCGCAACCCGCAGCGTTCACAACCCACAGCGCCGTGTCTGTGCACACACGTGACGCAATTTAGCGCTTTTGCGCATGCACAAACACCGAAATCTGGAAGTAACCCGTTCTGGTACTTCTGGGTTTCGGCGGGTCTGTAACCTGAAAACACGTAACCTGAAGCTTCTGTAACCCGAGATACCACTGTATATTATAACCAAAGTCTTTGGCCCAATGTATCATAACCAACTTAACCTCTTCATCTTTCAAATGCCATTCCAACAGCAATTTATACATTTTTGACAATATTTTAAATTTGTCATTTAATATTTCCATTTCAATTTTTGACTTAGTATAACCAAATCCATGTTTCTTTAAATATTCTTTAAACATTTCATTAATTTGGCGATAGTGCAACCAATCATTTACATATTCTTTTACCTCTTCATAAGGTTTCATTTTCCAATTATTTCCTTCTTCTCTTAATAACTTTTCATATGTGGCCCAATTTTTACTCATATTTATCTTTTTTACACTCCTAATGGGGATAACCAGTGTGGTATTTTTCTTTCCAACAGGTTTTTATACCTATCCCATATTTCATATAGAGATTTTCGGAATATGTGGTTTCCAAATCCTTTATGCACTTTTGTTTTGTCATACCATAAATATGCGTGCCAACCAAACCTATTATCAAATCCTTCAACAAATCTGTATTTTCTAACAACATCCATTCCTTCAACCAACAGAGGCAAGATGCTTCATAGTATAACTTCAAGTCTGGCAAGGCGAATCCCACTCTTCCTCTGGTATCAGTTAACAATTTAAATTTAATTCTTGGTTTCTTCCCCTGCCAGATATATCTTGAAATTATTTTCTGCCACTCCTTAAATATAGCTGTCCCTTTGATTATTGGAACTGATTGAAACAAAAATAACATTTTTAGTAGCACATTCATTTTAATTACTGACATCCTACCCCATAGAGAAAGTTGCATCTGTCCCCACACTTATAAATCTCTCTGAATTCCATTCCACATTGGTGTATAATTATCTTGAAATAAATTTATATTCTTTGGGGTTAGCCAAATTCCCAAATATTTCACTTTCTTTACTACTTCTCGCTTTCAGGCCAAGGGAGCCGGTGTTTTCCAGGTCATGAGGACAGCATGACTAAACCGCTTCTGGCGCAATGGGACACCGTGACGGAAGCCAGAGTGCACAGAAACACTGTTTACCTTCCCGCCGCAGCAGCACCTATTTATCTCCTTGCATTGACATGCTTTCAAACTGCTGGGTTGGTAGGAGCTGGGACTGAACAACGGGAACTCACCCCATCGCAGGGATTCAAACCGCTGACCTTCTGATCAGCAAACCCAAGAGGCTCCATGGTTTAGACCACAGCACCACCCGGCACCTTCCCCACCCCAAATGTTAAAAATGTGGCACTTACTGTAACAACTTCATTGTGAGTACCAGCACCTTTTTATCTTTTTTAAAAAGCACTGCCAAGAACTATAATAAAATGGGGGCGTATTGGGGGAAGGATAGTACCTCTCATGGGATATGTTATGCCTTTTGTCCACCTTTGGTCCCCACCCTGCACTCAGCTCTCAACTGGGGCTCCTAGAAGCTGTCAGCATGTGACAGCAGCCACACCCCACAAACAGCTTCAACTGGCCAGCTAAGCCTGGTAGCCAAGGAGTCTTAAACTCTCATTGAATTATGGACCTCCCCTGCATGTGAAGACAGGCTCCAGTGGATTGAGTAGACAAGAGTGGGTCCATTGATCAAGAAGGCAGTTTCTGCACATGCTTTAGAGAGAAGTGAAGGGCATATGGGGCTCGTCCACCTGGGAAAGTAGCCCATCTAGGAGAATTCTGATCCTAAACCTCCACTGCCTTGTGGAATATATTCGGGAGAAGAAAAGGCTATGGAGTAAACCCCACACAAATCCAGAGCAGAATCCCTAAGGCGTTTGAGTGGCACCCTGCATTCCTCCTTCCGGCAACTCCTGCAGCCAAGCTGGTGGCAAAGGGATTGCTCTGCTTTCCTTTGGACCACATCAGTGAGGCCAAGATGGGGTCTTGTCATCTGGGCACCTCAGGAACGCCCTCCATACACACTGCCTGGGCCCCAGGGAGGTCACTTCAGTGCTGCTAACGCAGCAAAAACAAGGTTTGACTTCACCCCTCTGGAGGCAGACTTCATTGTCTCCCGAGACAGACGGATGCCAACAACAAGAATGAAATCCAGACAGTAAGGTGAGTGGGAGGCTCATTAATGAAACAATGCCTGTGAACCTCTGTTCTCCATTGAAAACAGGTGCAACAATTTTTAAGCCCTCTCCTTTTTTTGCAGTAAACATTCCTCAGTCAATATTTGTTGTTATCAAGAACAGAATCAGCCTCCATGTGCCAAATGACGTCAGGTGCTAAGTGCTTCAAGTTCCTGAAGTCAAAGGCCTTGCTGTTGCTGGCATCTGTCTGTTTTGGGAGACAATGGAGGAATGCACCTTCTGGTCAAAACATTGGAGGGTTGCAGCACCTACTGTGGCTGTAGAGACCGACACAGGAGAGACATGTTTTGTTGCAGCCAGGGCAGATGAAGGCGTCCAGTTGTGCTGGTGCAGGTGTATTATGGTGTTTCTTTTCTCGGTGCTCCTCCCAGCGGGCATTGCTCCGCTGGTCGCTACCATAGATGCATGACCTGACAGTCTGTCTCCAGACGCGGCAGTCGTCTGCAAGAGATTCCACATGGCGGGGTTGATTTTGCTGGCTTTCCAGGCACAGAGCTACTAGGAAACTAATGAAGCTTAATCTTCAGGGCCCCTAATCCCAGAGGGGCCCCAGAAGTGACTTTAGTCCACGTTGCTTAAAAACACTGGCTCTAGTACAGTGGTACCTCAGGATGCAAACGGGATCCGTTCCGGAGCCCCGTTCGCATGCTGAACAGAACGTAAGACACGACTGCGCGTCTGTGCGTGCGCAGGTAGCGTTTCGCTGCTTCTGCACATGCACATGACATCATTTTGACCGTCTGCACATGCGCGAGTGGCGAAACCCGGAAGTAACACGCTCCGTTACTTCTGGGTCGCCACGAAGCACAACCCAAAAATACTTATCCTGAAGCGTATTTATCCCGAGGTATGACTGTATATGCAATTTGAGTTGCACAACTCAAACTGATTTATTTTCTGTTGTATATATTTCAACAATCCCCAAGTTTGAGAGTCAGTAGCACAGATGTTGTGAAGCTTGTTGTGAACAATCCCATTGAAGAAGATAACAGTGGTTACCCAGACCTTGTTGCTGGTTGCAAAGGGGCCCCATAACAGTTCAAGCTTCAGGGCCCCAAAAATGTAGGTCCTCCACTGCAGCCTTCATGTCACGTTTGCAGGCATCTTTGTAAAGCAGAGCTGGTCTGCCAACAGGCCTGGTGCCTGAAGACAGCTCCCCATAGAGCTCTTCCTTGGGGATCCTTCCATCCTCCATTCCGTGTACATGACTAAGCCAGCATAGACATCACTGAGACAGGAGTGTGAACATGTTGGGAATGTG